GTAGTCATTTCAATAGTGGTGCTGGAACTATTGGACATATATTTGTGAAAAAAAAAGAACCTTGACCTATACCTCATAAATTATTTTTAAAAATTCACTCAAAATGGATCAAAGACCTAAATGTAAATACAAACCTATAAAACTTTTAGAAGAAAACATAGGAGAAAATCTTTGTGACTTTGGGTTAGGCAGAGAATTCTTAATTACGACACAAAAAGCCTGACACATTTTTAAAAAGGCAAAAAACTAGTCTTCATTAAAATTAACAATTTTTGTTCTGTAAAAGATACTATTAAGAAAATGAAAAGACAAGCTACAGGCTGGGAAAAAATAGCTGCAAACTGCACTCCCAACAAATGATCAGTCTCCATAATACATAAAGAACTCTCAAAGTTCAACAATTTAAAAATAATACCATAAAAAATGAGAAGTTTGACTAACCCAGTAACTTCACCAAAGAGGATCTACAGATAGCAAATAAGCACATGAAAAGATGCTTAAGATGATTAGTCATTAGGGAAATGCAAATTAAACTCACAATGAGAAACCACTACACATCTGCTAGAATGTTCTAAAATTTTTTATAAAAGTGACACTATCAAGTGCTGATGAGGATGTGGAGCAACTGGAACTCTCACACATTGCTGGTAGGAATGCAAAATGGTAGACCCTTTCAGGAAAGAGAGTTGAGCAGTTTCTTATAAAGTTAAACACAGCCAACACACTTGCTCCTAGGTGTGAAAAGAAAACACAAAAACCTGTAAGCAAATATTGTAGCAGTGTTATTAGTGATTACTAAAAACTAGAAACAATCCAAATGTCCTTCAAATGGAGATGGATAAACAAACTGTGGCACAAACATACAATGAAATACTACTCAGAAACAAAAAGGATCAAACTATTGGTACACACAACATATGGGTGAATCCCAAATGCATTATGCTAAGTGAAAGAAGCCAGACTCGAAAGATTCCATTTTAAGACATTCTGGAAAAGGCATAACTAGGGATTCAGAACAGATAAGTGACTGCCAGAGGTTAAGGTTGGAGGAAGAGTTTGAGTACCAAGGGGTAGCACAAAGAAACTGGGAGAGAGGGTAGGAGGGTGATGAGACTGTTTTGTATCTTGATCGTGGTAGACACACTGTAGTGCATTTTTACTGAATACACATTTTAAAAAAAATTTTTAAATAATGAAAAGTGGCTAACAAATATCTTTTCTTTTTTTTTTTTTTTTTGGTCTTTTGTCTTTTTCCGTGTCCGGCAACGGATCGCAACCCTCAGTGCTGCCCCCGTACCGGACCGGGGACTGGCAACGGGATCGCAACCCTCGGTGTTGCTCCCGCGCCTCGCTCAGCCAGTGAGCGGGAACCGGTCTGTATGTGGGATCCGAACCCTCGGGCGGGAGCGCCACCGCGCTTCCCAAGCGGCGCACTATCCAGTGCGCCACCAGGCCGGCCCGCTAACAAATATCTTAACTATTTTGTTTTTATTACCAAAATAACATATATCTGTTATAAAAGAAATTTAAAACAACTCAGAAATAAAGTAGAAGACTTCCCTCACCACTTTCAACCCCAAATCTTAGAGATAAACTTACTGAATTGTTCCTGCGTACACACAAACATACATATTCCAAATCTATTAATACATGTTAATCTATTGTACAGTTACAAAATGTTTATTTTATAGAATATAAATACGTCACTTTATTTTTTCTAAATGGATAGCTAACAACCCTAACACCATATATTGACTAGTCCGGTGACTTAGAATGCCAGATTTAAGACATAGTAAATTCCCAAAGAAATGAAGTTAGGAAGTTTTGCTCATCAGAATTCTGGGAATCTGCTGGGGAATTTTCATCACCAG